AAGAATTATTGCTGATTCTAAAAATAATCATTTATTACCATTAACATTCGAAGACTTAATCCCTGGTCCTATTAATCCGAGGTTTTACATAAATATATTTTCAATCCTAGACCGGAGAAAGCGATACGGAATTGTTAAAAGCATGAGAAAGCTTTTTATTAAATTTAATAATCTAAATAGCCGGTTAATGTTTAGCGATTGCATCATTTAATATAAACATAATTATAGGTATCTCCACAGATTCCCGATATATTTAGTTTAAAATGAAAAAATATTTTTGAATCTTTTACTTTAGTTTTAATTACGAGCTGTTAGATTACATTTAATCTTTCCAATCAGTAACATAATATGCTGTATTTCAAAACTGATTTATTGGAAGGAGTTTTCGTTTCAAAATTACTAAACAAAATTTAAAATTTAGCACCATTTTTTAGCAATCTGTTAAAAAAATGTAATTCCCTTTATTAAATTTTTTCCAAGAATTAGATAAGTATTTCTGAAACTTTATTTGAGGAATATTAGTTGATTTAAAGTATATTAATCTAATATGAAACAAATATTATTTACTTTACGTGTAAGATATCGTAGAAATGCATTTTGTTAACAGAGCGGTAGCTGTTTAGGATTACAGGTTGTTGACAGTTCGATGGCAGTCGGCATTTATCTAATGTTATTTTATTAGTTTGGGTTAACTGTTAAAAAATAACTGAGGAATCTAATATGGACGCCTTTTCAGTAACCAGTAACCTTAAACATTTAAGAAAATATTCCCGTAACCTAATGTTTTAATAAACTTCATGGCTATTTAAATTTACTATAGTTATCGCTCTTATTTTCTGGTAATGTCGTGTATGGGCGACCGTATATACAGTGTAACCCGGATACAAGAGACCCAGATATACGAGAAACCCGAGTATAAGAGATATTTTCTCTGGTCCCAAAATAGAGCCTGTGTTAATGTATATAAATTAGACCAAACCCGGATATAAGAGAAACCCGGATATAAGAGAGATTTTCTCTGGTCCCAAATTAGAGCCTGTGTTAATGTATATAAAATAGACCAAACCCGGATATAAGAGACTTCTTCTCCGGTCCCGACAACTGTCTTATATCGGGGTTACACTGTATATATATAAAAAAAGAAAAAAATTGGAAACATTTACCTATACAAAAACAATTCAAAATTCTTTAAAAAAAAATATTTGTCAGACTGTAATAAATTTTACGATTTATGATTAGTAAATATATCTTTACATAATAACAGTATTCTCTAACTTTACAGCATTCAAACAGAATTTTAAAAGATTTAAAAACTTTAGAAATTATTCTAATTAAAATTTAAGAAAATGAAAACAAATCATGTACAAATTCATTTTTCATTGATGTTTTCTTTACTGAAGACAATAACCTTAATATATATTATTCATAAAAGAAATTAAAAGCTTTTCTAATTATACAATATCTTAGTTTTATTGCGTTTTTTTTTTATTTTACGATTCAGAGCAGATTTTCCATGAGACAGGGTCCGATTTTACAAAAAAGAAATTGATGATTTAACGTCTCCAAAGACTTCTGCTTATAACTAATATAGTCACTAAAAGTTTTCAATTTCTCGAATTTATATAAATCTAAATAAGAGCGGGAAATACATGTAAAAAGAAAAATAATGTTACCAAAAGTGGTGACATTTCTAAAGTAATTTAATTCATTTGTAAATAATTCCTGAAAATGTCATTAAAACCAGAAAATAGTCTGATTTTTGCAAGAAGTACCAAATTAATGGGAATTTCATAAAAAAAGTTGCTTAAATTTACTGTACTAATTTAAAGTCCATCCGATGACAAAAGAAAAACAAGTTTTTTTTTATCAAACTTTCGAATGTCCTAAATTACATTTTTAATCCTTTGATAATCTAAATAGGATTAAAATGTCTAATGAAATATGTAAAAAAATACCTTTATCCTTACTCTTAATAATAAAGATTTTGATGATAAAACTTTGTTTTCATTAAGTTTGAATGTATGCTAATTTTTTAGCGATTTTGTGGTTGTATCTAAAAAGTATGAAACTGAAAATCCCAAAGTCAATACCCTGTATTTGATCAATAAAATAAGTTATTGATATTAAAAGTGAGAGCTTTAACGTGAAATGGTAAATTTCTACTTGGCTTTGGCAATTTTAACGCCATATATGTCCCCGAATGTAGTGATATGCAATATTCCCATATAAATTCGGACATATTCGAGGCATGCCACAAAAATCACTCTTACAACTCAGAACGACATTCTAATAGAACTGAAGTCGACCAGAGCTTAAAGGCAGATATCTCTGACCAAGTTCTAACAGCTCAGTCAGTCAGTCAGTGCCATGCTTGCTACACGCTTAGGCGATCATGTATCTTTCGATGCATGACTGACGAGGCATGATTTTTCCCGTAGTTGGTTGTCATTTTTTTTTTTTTTTGCGGTAGACCAGTTGCCATCCAAGGCTATAGAATCCGGTCTGCCCTACTATTTACCTATAGCTGGATGGGGGAAAGGATTCATACCTTTCCCAAGAGTATTAGCATGTAAGTGAATGTAATGGATTCGACTGGAATTCGAACTCGGCTCTCCGATTCCTTAATCCGAGCCGCTATCCATTACTCCTAGTGGTTTTCTTAATTCAATAATGTGAGCGCCTGTGTTTGCTCACTGGCGATCTCTGCTCAACTGTAGCGACTCTTTATTCCTATATAACAACTTCGTTAGAAACAAAGAAAAGAATGCTGAAATGTGTTATGTGTTATAAATCCTCTTATATAGTATATTATTCTCTACCATTTAAATTTCGATTTTTGAGTGCGATTATTTGTCAGTCATTTATGTGTCATGTGTGAGACACCCTTAACCGATCATGTAGCTTTCGATACATGACTGATGAGGCAGATTTTTACTCACAGTAGGTTGCCATTTCTATTTGCGGTAGACCAGTTACCATACAAGACTATAGAACTCGGTCCGTCTTACTATTTATCCATAGCTGAGGGGAGAAGATGATTGATACCTTTCTCAAGGGTTTTAGCACGTAGCTGAATCTAATGGATTCAACTAGTGGAGAAACAGTTGACAGGTCCAAACCAAATCAGTGACATTCCACTGTCGCCGATCGGAGCCAGAACTTTAACCAATATTCACTCATAATTACTACGTGTTTCTTCTACCGTTCCAAATTTTTCTGGCAACTACGATGAACTGATGTTCCCTCGGGGAGGTCTTGTTCCTTGGTACTTGACCCCAGCACAGATATACATAGGATACATTGTTAAAGATCCTTGAAAAATCATCGGTTCCGTGTATCGTTCTAGTAAGCACCTGGCTCCTCCTGTTATCCTCACTTCCTGGGTAAAACGATAAATTACATACGACAGCAAGGCCTCTAATCAGGAACTTGGAACTACCTCTTAATTGCTAGTGTTCCCAGATCCACCCCACCGTCTAGAGTATGATCATAAACTACATCCGCATCCTGGGTAAGACGATAAACTACGTCCAACAGCAATGCCTCTGTTCAGGAGGTTTTGAGGAGTGTGGAACTACCTCTTAATTGCTGGTCTTCCCAGATCCACCCCTGTCTAGAGTATGACGACAAACTACATCTGCATCCTGGGTAAGACGATAAACTACATCTGCATCCTGGGTAAGACGATAAACTACATCCAGCAGCAAGACCTCTGATATAGAGGTTTTGAGGAGCGTGGAACTACCTCTTAATTTCTGGTGTTCCCAGGCCCACCCTCGTCTGGGGTCTGATGATAAACTATATCCGCGTCCTGAGTAAGACGGTATCGAACATCCGACAGTAAGGCCTCTGATCAGGAGTTTTTGAGGAGCGAGGAACCACCTCTTAATTGCTGGTGTTCCTAGGTTCATCCTGACCCGGGGTGGTAGCACCTGTTTGGGTCCCAGCTATAGGCAAATAGTTAACCTCCAAACTGTGGTCAAAACACTATGAAAGTGTAAAAATAGATTTTAATGCCACCAATACATTTTTGAGTAAACATTATTACCAGCAATACATTATAACTATCAACACATTTTTGAAGAAAATAAATTAATTACCAAAATAAATAAATAAATAAAATTAAATAAATTACCAGCAATACATTTGGAAGGGACAAATATTACCAGCAATACGTTTTTGGAAACAGCTATTACCAGCAATATATTTTTAAGAAAAATATTACCAGCAGTACATTTTTAAGAAAATAAATATTACCAGCAGTACATTTTTGAAGAGACGAATATTACCAGCAATACATTTTTGAAAAAGATATTACCAGCAATAAAATATCTTGTCGGCATTAAATTACCCACTGTGGTTGATATGCCGTAAAACAAAACAAAGCCAAGAGCCAAATCAGGCCGCAAATGGAATGTTGCTGCTATCTATGGAAAGGAACTGCCAAGTTGTCACTTTCCTCTCGATATAGTCTAAAGGCGTCTCCGCGGCCTTGAGAGTGATGAATTATTTTCCATCCCGCAACCTCTTTCATACAGACGAGATGTAAGTTCGTAATTTTTTATTTATAAATATAGCTTGATTCTTTCTAAGCGCGGATAAAGATGTCATCATTGAATATATCGGCGACACCGGCATGAAATTTGAATTTCAATCCTTGTGACATTTTTGCTTACTTCTAAAGCATGATAGATAAGTTGACATTTCTTTTGTAATGCCATGTCACTTTAGAACGTAGATATTTCCGACTCTGCAAGGATTCTTTTTTCTAATTATCTGTGAATTGTCTTGACCTATTACGTTCTACGTGGATTTGAAATCAGGATAGTTTTTTTTTCCTGTACTGACCGCCACCCAAGATTACAGAGCCCACTTCAGACACATAAATAATTCATACACACAGCTGGATTTCGAATGTATATCGATATATTGATAGATAGTCAGATAGGGACAGGCTGAGATTAATAACTAGCCAGCTAGCTAGATAGATAGGAACAGACTGAGGTAGATAGATAGATAGATAGATAGATAGATAGATAGATAGATAGATAGGAACAGACTGAGATAGATAGATAGATAGATAGATAGATAGATAGATAGATAGATAGATAGATTGGAACAGAGATATCTAGATAGCTAGCCAGATAGATAAGTACATCGGGAAAGACTTAGATAGATAGATAGATAGATAGATAGATAGATAGATAGATAGATAGATTGGAAAAGTCTGAGATAGCTAGCTAGCCAGATAGATAGATTGGAACAGATTGAGATAGCTATCCAGATAGATAGATAGATTGGAAAAGACTTAGATAGATAGATAGATAGATAGATAGATAGATAGATAGATAGATAGATAGATAGATAGATAGATAGATTTGGAACAGAGATAGCTATCTAGCTAGCCAGATAGATAAATAGATCGGAAAAGACTTAGATAGATAGATAGATAGATAGATAGATAGATAGATAGATAGATAGATAGATAGATAGATAGATTGGAAAAGTCTGAGATAGCTAGCTAGCCAGATAGATAGATTGGAACAGATTGAGATAGCTAGCCAGATAGATAGATTGGAAAAGACTTAGATAGATAGATAGATAGATAGATAGATAGATAGATAGATAGATAGATAGATAGATAGATTGGAACAGAGATAGCTATCTAGCTAGCCAGATAGATAAATAGATCGGAAAAGACTTAGATAGATAGATAGATAGATAGATAGATAGATAGATAGATAGATAGATAGATTGGAAAAGTCTGAGATAGCTAGCTAGCCAGATAGATAGATTGGAACAGATTGAGATAGCTAGCCAGATAGATAGATTGGAAAAGACTTAGATAGATTTTAATGTTATTTTTAGTGGGATATTCCTGTTTAAGTAGACGCACCTTTTCTTATTTTACTGGATACGCGTGTTTCTATTTTTAAAGATAGTTTCTCTGGTAAGAGATCTCTCGAAATTTTGCAGTTTCGTATAAAAAATCCAACATATTTTTATCACTTTGAACGTTATTTTTTAGTGAACACTCGTATCTGAGTAGACGCGCTGTTTATTTATTAAACTGTATAATTATTTTTTTGTCTACAGGCCTCAATATTCGAGCAAGCTTATTAAAGAAAAATTTGCGCTCTTCGGTAGGATTTGAACATATTCTAAAAATAGTTCGATCGATCGATAAATAGATAGATAGATAGATAGATATTACAAATATTTCTTACATAAATACAGGGTGTCCATAAAGTTCGTGTGCGCTTTAAAAGATTTATAACTTTATTTGTATTTGCGATAGAAATGATTTGTAAAAAGGATTAGAATGAAGTCTATCTATATTTTTTAATGTTTTATTGAAATTTTATTTAAGTTTCCAGATGTCCTTCATCATTAGCAATACAATGGGTAATACGATTTTGCAGTTCATGGAAAATATTTGCCAACTGATTTACAGTAATGCCTGAAATCACATTAGTTATTTTAGCTATATTTAAAACAAGGTACATTAAACTTTATAACATTTTTACATATTATTTCTATCGCAAATACAAATAAAGTTATAATTTTTAAAGTGCACACGAATTCTATGGACACCCTGTATAATAAATTTTAACAACTGCATAAAAAATATGCACGCGCACACACACACATGCACACTCATATATATATATATATATATATATATATATATATATATATATATATATATATATATATATATATATTTGTTGATTTAGATATATATGCACACGTGTGTGTGTACGTGTGTTCCTGTGCCTGTGTTTGTGCGTTTGCAAATGAGTCACCTATTGACATGCACTGAGACCCAAGGGAGAGGCGATGACTTGAACTCATGTTTCCAGCCTCGAGGCATTTGTCATCATTTTTTGTTTCGCTCGGGATAATACGACGCCTGGATGCCATTGAGGAAGCAACCTGGATGGCGCCCAAGTTTTTAATGTTTATTCATGGTTCAACAACACCAACTCTTCTCTCTCTCTCTCGACCTTTCTCTCACTCTCTCTTTCTCGTTATCTCTCTCCCATACAGACATACATTAAACCCACAAACACGATATACATTTGTTTGCATATTTTATATTGAGTCTGTCTGACATGTTTAGCCTGGATGGCGAGCATAAATATGGAATTATGTTACCGAAACTCGTTGAATCTGTGCAATGTAATCTTATCTGTGTATGGCGACGTCTGGCCGCATTCGTATATTCAGACTCGAGTCTCTGTCAACAGGAATAATGTAAGAATGCTCTTCTATTGACGATATATAAGGGACAAATGCGAAACATTCAAGCTCTCAGCTCTTCTGGAAAATACATATCTTCAATAAACTAATACATATTCACTCCCAAAATATCTCCCAGTATTTACATAATGTTCCCTGTTGAAACGCTTACGATACGCCACGAGATAAGGAGAATTTTATTTCTATCACTAATGACGATGTTTTTAAGGCCTCATCTTTCAGTATAAAAGCGTTTTGGGGCGTGAACGCTTCTACAGATACTCAGTATACTTGCGCAAATTAATTAAAACAACCGCTTTAGTTTCCTTTCTTTCATCATACGGTCAGTTTTAGACCCACTAAAGTGACACAGTCTAATCGATTTCTATTTTCTTTTCTCAGATTAGGCCATTTTCAGTGGTTTGCAGCAATATGAATCTATTTTCGGGGTGTATGATGAAATTTGTTTGGCCTCGAAAAGCATTCCGCCATCCGTGATTTTTTCAGATTTCTATCACGCCCTGACACTATTGTCTCGACTGGCGATTAGTTGTCCTACGGCCATTGTCTGCGATAGGCGCTACTCCAAGGAAAAGTACGAAAATTTTAACGCTGTACGAACACACTGGCAAGTCTTACCAGTGAGCAAATCGACGTACTATAAACTGGCTCGGAAAATCTCTTGATTTTAAATCTAATCGAGAATCTGTGGTCAATCTTCAAAGAACGACATCGTGGAATGGACATACAAAGTACTAAAATGTGCACTGGGTCATGTTTCATTGGAAAAATATGAAAAAAAAACGTAAATAATTACGGAATTATTTGTTTTGTTTCAATCAATTTGCACAAGGTTGTATATATTAATGTTCACCCAAGGTGTTGGGGGAGTGGCTCGGATTGAGAAACCAGAGAGTCGAGTTCGAGTTCCAGTCGATTTCGTTACATTTACTTACCTGCAAAACAATGGGTAAATTGAAAGACAAACTGAGTTCCATCGGGTCTAGCGGCAACCAGTCTAGGAGAAAGAAAAGTTTGAATTCATAAGTTGAGTGGTCGAGTGGTCTGAGGCTAAACCGATTCCCAGTGTGGTGAGGGCAGCCGATTTCATAGAGCAAGGTCTGGTGAGGGCAGCCGATTAAGAGAGCAGGTGTAGAGGGCAAGTTGAACCCCACTACCACAAAATACAAGAGCTTTCAAAGGGCGAGTCAACTCGTCAAATCAACAGCCATCCACCCAAGATATATGTTATATAACATCACCAACACGCAATTGGCCAAGCGTCGTGTACAGCTTCATACGTAAATCAGGGACGGGCTCATCTAACAGTAGGTGGTGGATTGTGATTTACTTTTGTAATGTTCACCGAAACTAAGGCTCAAAAGCCACTTGAGCTAGAGTTTGTAGTATGAGCGGAAATAAGTGTACTTAAGGAATGTAGTTTATTGGGAAGGTTTTTTTATGTCAGAAAGATAGCAGTTAGCTCTAGACATGAAGAAATCAAGATTTTATTGATCAGAAAAATACATCATCTAGGGAGTTTATTTTTCGGACAAAGCTATCCAAGAGGAAAGTCTTTCTTACTAATGAAATACAAAGGGAATTGGGTTGTTTCCTCTCACCTTACATGATGTTTAGAGATGGTATGGGCAGAAATGTTGTAACTGAGAAATGTAAGTCGTCAAAATATTTACCATGGAAGTAGCGATTGTGTAACCAGTGAGATATATATATATATATATATTATAATAATATTTTTTGTTTTAAAAATATGATTCCTTCGCTACATAAGAGTTCTCATGTTTCAAAAACGAGAGCCGAAATCATCCAAATAATTATTAAAATTAAGTTGAATTGTGGTGTTTAGTCCCGTTTAATCTTCAAGCGAAATTTTAGGAATAAGCTATCTCTCGGTTTACGTGTGTTTTTAGGCATGGTCCGTTACAACATTCGTTATTCTGGGAGTGGCTAGACTATTTTCCTTCGTTAAGTGGTCAGAGAGTTAATTCTTATCAATAGATTCATCATCTTCTGAGAGGTTTTGCTAAGGTTGGGTAGAGTATCTATTTCAAGATTTCGGCTCTCGTTTTTGAAACATGAGAACTCTTATGTAGCGAAGGAATCATATTTAAACAAAAAATATTATTATAATATAAGCTCTACTTCTGTATGGAGCACTGTCTTCTTAAAAATAAAAACAAAAATACTAAGTAACCCCGGATTATGCACCCAACGTGTTCTTTTCTATTTTCTGCATACCTACGCACATATATATATATATATATATATATATATATATATATATATATATATATATATATATATATATATATATATATAATTAAATTAAAAGCATTAGTTCCGTTAAGCTATATTATTATGCATGTGGCGACAGTTGCATTATGTCTTGCGCTGTGATTTTGTATTACAAGGACTTCAGTCATAAGGGAACATTGAAAATCTCAGCTTAAATTAAATTGGTTTTTGCCGGTTTGTTCTTGTAAGGATAATGATAACACACCCTCTCGAAGTTGTAAATCCTTTAAACAAAAAAATGATAATAATAATAATCACTCTATAGGTATTGCATGCAAACAAATAACATCCCAAAACATGCGGAAAATCGAAATGAGGAGAGTACGGGAAATTTAATTGTATACAAACACTGCAAATGTCCTACCTTATATCATACAGGGTAATGTAGTCTCCTAATCCTATTATTTACCTCCCTTCTGAGGCTTTCAGCGGCGCCATATTTCTCAGAACCCCCTACTTCCTATGACAGGTTTCCTGCCACAACCTCATTTTTCCACATACGAAAATCCCTTCTTCCCGTTGTTATGCTTGCAGGTGTTGGTCAGATATTTGTTCTAATGAATACCTTTCCCCGGTGCGTATTTAGTTATGTGGGATCGATGAATTTCCAGATGGCTTGGCGATTATAGATAGAGTTGTTGGGAGGCAGAATGCAGAGGTAATAGCGACCTGGTCAGTTGGGTTGAGAAGATCAGGGAAGGGAAGACGATTGAGCGGAAATTATTGGTTGGCGGAGAGGGGCGATCTGAAGGAATTCAAGGCAGAAGGACATAAATAAAATAAGAGAATACAGAAGGAAGAAATAAAGGGCGGGAAAACAAATGAAAAAGCAAAAATAACAAGGGAAGGATGGGGAGGTGAAAAAGAAAGACATTATTCCCTCTTTCTTTCTATCTTTCTTTTCCATCGTCTGTTCCCTCTCGCTATATTTTCTTTTGGGGGCAAAGATAGAGAGAGGGAGGGAATAGTTTTTCCTCTCTCTCAAACTGCCTTTCTTGAGCGAAGCTTATCGCCCTTGCCCTCTCTCTCTCTCTCTCTCTCTCTCTCTCTCTCTCTCTCTCTTTCGCTATCATCTTCTGTGTTCCCGCCAGATTTACAATCTGCTAAATTGTAATTGCGAAAATTTTGGTTGATTGAATTTATGACTGGTCAACTCTTGTTAGGTTATTTAATATCCGAGTTTTTATGGAGCCCATAGTGAGAATCAAACTCATCGCATACATGCAATTGTCAACCACAATAGAGTAATTGAGAATTACTCCGCAGCAATTGTTGCCTGTCCTGGATAAGACGATAAACCTCATCCACGTCCTGGGTAAGACGATAAACTACATTCAACAGCAAAGGCTCTCATCAGGAGGATTTGAGGACCATGGGACCACTCCTTAATTCCAGGTGTTCCCAGGTTCATCATGAACCAGAGTCGTAGGTAAGTCGTAAAAAAAACGACAAATAAGCCAAGTTCAAACATCAATCATTTGCATTCGACATTTAATATTATACCCATTATTTGGCATAACGGCGATAATACGGTAATTTTTAATACGAATGAAGTATTTGAAGTTTGGTTTAGCTTTTTTTACGGCTTATCAACTTAAATGGGTTATTTAATGCCGACAAGATTCTTAAATATTTTTTTTTTTAAAAGTATTCTTGGGAATATTCTTTTTCCAAAATTGTATTGCAAGGAATATGTTTTTCTTCAAAAATATATTGCTGGTATATATATATATATATATATATATATATATATATATATATATATATTAAGTATTTCTGGTATTAAAATCTATTTTATACTTTCAGAGTGTTTTAAGCTCTTTTGGAGAGTTAACTATTTGCCCATACCTAGGACCCTAACAGGTGCTACCACACCGAGCCAGGGTGGACCTGGGAACACTAGCAATTAAGAGGTGGTTCCACACTCCTCAAAACCTCCTCATCAAAGACCTTGCTGCCGGATGTAGCTTATCGTCTTACCAAGGACGCGTATGTAGTTTATCAACATACCCAGGACGGAGTATATGAGGGATAATAACGAGGAAACACACGTGTTTTATTTAAAAATCAAGATAAGAAATCTATTTACCAGTTTACACATTTGGAGTCGTTAGTAGCTTGATTCAAGAAAAGGAATCAAATATTTAAAGTTCGGAGTTTCGATGAATTGTTAAGAAGAGCCAATGTCCGTATTAAATCATCGGACAAAAGTAATTTTTCCAATTTTAAAACAAATTGAGAGTGTTCGTTTTTCTCATAACATTTATACGGTTGGCCTATTTATATCAAAAAGCGATTTGTCATTGGTTCAGTACATTTTTTTTTCTCAGTTTGTAAGTCGCTCATCTTTACATTGATCAAAATAAAGTTTCATGTTGGCTCGTTAAACTTTGCCTTGATCTTTTGTTTAGCCTGGAGCCAATCCGTTTCCTGTTGGTCAAAATAAATTTTTGCGTAAGCTCGCTAAACTTTGGCTTGGTCTTTTCTTCAGTCCGGAGACAATCCTTTTTTTCTATTGGTCAAAATAAATTTTCACGTAGGCTATTTAAACTTTGCCTTAGCCTTTTCTTCAGTCTGGAGT